GCGCGTGCTCCTCTAACAACAAGGTTGCCGGGTCGACTCCCCCATGGGACGGTGGGTTGTGCCCCTCTGCAACTAGGACTTGGAGCTGAGCTTGCACCCTCCACAACTAGGATTGAAGGACAACTTGACTTGAAGCTTATGGGTGTTGGAAAAACACAATGTCCCCCTTTCCCAAATCCCCAACACTGTTCCCTTCCCCAATTTCCCAATAAAATCTTTAAAAAAAACCCCAGAGAATCTGAGTGTCACTGCCCTCGTTTAGGAATGCAGGGGATGGAGAGAAGGAAGAAGCAAAATGAGCACACTATATGCTTTATCAAAGCAGGTCTTAAACACATTTACAGCAGAAAGTCTGTCTCAAAAGAGGAACTATAAATAGCTCAAGCTGTCACAGCAAATGTTAGAAACAGGTGTGATTTCAAGTGTGTGTGTCTGTCCTCTCTAGAGCTCTGCTCAGTCACCGACACCGCCTTGAAGAACCGTCGTGACGATTAAGGGAATCATGTATGAAATTCTGCTCCGCAAACTGGAACATGATATATACAAGACATACAAATAAGCAGATCTTTCATACTATGGTTTATGTTTTTATTTCAAATTTATTTTAGGTTCCAAAGATTTCACAGTAATTGGAACAGAATTTCCCATGTGGATTTGTTTAAGAGATAGAACCAGAGTCTTGCCTTTTTAAATTTTTCTATAACCAAAGTGAAAAGAGAGAATGATTTTTAGGATCTCCTGTGGAAAAAGGACAACAAAATCAAACTCCTTTGGAAGGTGCAATTACCAATATGATACTGTTATTCATAACAACCAAGTATCATGTAATATTTTTGAATTAAAAGTAACATTTCACAGGAGGTAATTTTAAACTGTAGAAGTCTGGGTGTCTGCAAGGGGACACCTTAGAGGAGAACTTACAAGATGACTTTTATGCTTACTAAATACAAAATGGGATGTCATTCTTGTGAATGTTTTCAGTTTCTAACTTTACCAACAGTTTCCTTCTAGATGGCTTTAGTGTTTTAGGGTTCCGTTTCCTCCTGCTCCTGGATCAACAGTCCTTTCTTACTGAACCAGTTTCCTTTTCCAGCAATTGAGATAAAGGAAAACCTGAAGTTTTAAGGCTACAGAAAACAAGATCAGAAGTATCATGTCTACCTCTGAAAGTCTGAGGATTAAACAAGCTAATGCATCAGAGGGCACGAGGTCACCGTAGAATGGTGACAAAGGCAGCCAGGTAAGCCGTCAAGGTTTGGAATCGATCCTGAGGGGAGTGCCAAGATCGGGTCTGCATTTTAGAAAGATCTTCTGGACAGAGGAAAGATGGGAAAGCCTGGCTCAGAGGCAGGGAGACCAAGTGGGGGCTAAGATGCCTGAATCAGGGTGGTGGGAATGGCCCTAACTGAAACCTTCAGGATCGAGCCAAAGAGGAGATGTGGGGACGAGAGAGAGGTAGTCAAGTGCCAGCGTCATGAAGACTGCTGCCAAACGCTCTCCTCCCCTTCCTGGCACATGCATCACCCCTTGGAACTTAGCTGTGGCCATGTAACTTGTCCAGGAGGTAAAAGTGGAAGCTTATTCACATGTCACAGTAACCAAGTGAAAGACGGGGGCTCTGTCAACCTGGATCCTCAGAGACTCCTCACCCCGTCCCAAAACCAAGTTGAATGTGAACCTGTATCAGGCAGGAAAACAAACCTTTGCTTTTTAACCCTAAGATTTGGGAGTTGTTACTGTAGTGTGATTTGGCTTATCCTGACTGACACACTAGAAATGGTGATCTTAGATATGGGTCCAGAGAAGAACAGGCTTTGGAAACACATGCAAATTACAAATCTAGAAATCTATCTGAACAGGCATTTAACAGATACTATCTTAACAGATACAAGATGACATCAGAAGCTTGGGGGGTGGCGAAGCTTTAACTACTTCCCAGCAGAAACAATGGGTGCATTTTCAAAAGAGGAAAGAAAGTAATGTACTTGGGAAATTAATATTTCTATGGTGTAAGAACTGCTACTATAAAGGTTATGTATTTATTTTCTATTTAAAGAGTTTCAAAAGTGGACTCCTTTGGGATAGCTTGCTTAACCCTTTCTAGATCACATGGGGCAAGGACATTATGGTTAAGAACCAACAAGAAGCCCGGGACCCCCTTTCCTTCTTCCATATATTCACCTTTGAACGCCACTACCTCCACCAATAAAAACCATTGCTAATAATTACTGAGTGTTGGCTGTGTGCCTGGCGAAATACTAATGCCATCACTGCAGTCGCTTATTTAACCCTCATAACTCATGATGGACTACGCGAAGGCTGTCTCTTTCCAAAGCCTCTGCCTCTCATGACCACTATACTCCACTTCCTCTTTCAGGTAAGCCCAGATAAATTTCTTTAATGATGGGCATTGAGGAAATGAGTTTTAACTGAAATAAGGGGGGGGGATAATTTAAAATATAGGGAGGGAAGAAGAGAACAAGAGAAACATGCTTAGAAAAAGGGCAGCTGGGGGCACCCAGATGAGTATGGGAGCAGAGTCCCGGGGAGGTGGAATGAAGGTATGGACAAGCAGAAGGGAAAGTTCACCCTGAAACAAACATCAGCCTAAACTAAGCTTGCTTTCCACTCACATACCTTGGATGGATTCAGTAAAAAGTTTGGCTTGAAAGAGCTACTAAGCAGATAGCTCAGAACACTAGAAATGCACAAGATGTAACAGACTATGTCCAACGGCTTCGCAGCCCACCCTGCATACGGCTGAGTAAGAATTTTACACAACGATGCACCACATCAGCCCACCCTGGGTTTCAGACCTCAGCTCTGCCACTTGGACAACTGAGCCTCCATTTCTTCCTCAGTAAAATTGTGCCAGCAATACCTATTTCAAGAGACCATTTTTCCTTCATTCTTTTTTCTTGACCCCCCCAGTGCCAAATTGAGAGTTGTCCCTGGTCCAGCTCAGTTTCGACTACATAATTACCTAAATTTCCAAGTACAAAGTACAACTCCTTATTCACTTATTTAATATGTTAAAGACACATTATTTAAAAAACATACCTTATTTTTAATTAATAAACATGAGTCCTTATTCCTTATTGTATACCCTGGACTACACTAGGTAGTAAATACATAATGAAGAAATAGATCCACGGGTGAGATTCCATCATCAGACTATGGTGCGAAGTCTGACTCTGCCATGTATTTGCTGCCTAAGTGACCCTGAGTAATAGCAGCAGTATGGCGGCTAAAGCTGACATGGGAAGGTTTGTTAAGCCAGGCTCTGTTGTATGTATTTATCTGAGTCATCTTCTCAATAATCCTATGAAATAGGTACCACTTCTTTCCCCGTTTTACAAATAAGAAACTGAAGCACAGAAAGCGTAAGCAACTTGACCAAGGTCAGCAGTCTAAGCAGATGGGACTCTACTGCTCCAGCCTGTGCAACTCACTGTTAGACGGTATTCTACCGTAAATGCAGAACCACCTTCCGCAGGGCTGCTGTCGAGGTTAGAAATAGTCTGGAAAGAACCTAGAATAGTAGGCACACAGTAGGTGGACAAGAAAATGTACAAGGATACAAGCTATATTGAAGAACAAAGCAAACTAAAGGAATGAACTATTCAGGTCTTTATTCTCAACCCTCTTTCAAAGTCGAAAGACACTTGATTACTACCCAAGCTTGGGTCAAAGTTTATGTTTATACTTCATACCACAGGAGGTTGTGAAAAGGGAAAATTTTAAGGCTAAGATCATAACACTAAACACTAAACTTTGTCTCTACTGATAACCCCTTACCTAGTTCCATGCCTCCACCAAACCTCGCTCTACAGTCATTGAAGCTGGTTAGAATCAACATGCGATTTGCCAAAGGTATTTCAAAAGAAAAGAAGAAAAAAATCTTAATTTCATCACAAAGAGGTACGCTGTTTAGAATTATTCTTAATAAAAAACAAAGAAGTTTCTTGTTGAGACTAAAAATGATTTACTTTTAAAACAAAACAATGTGTCAGAACCACTAACATAATATAAAATGCAAGCAGTCCTACGGTTTTGAATGCTGTGTCTTCCAAAACTACCAAACAGTTTTCTTTAAGTCTAGCTGAAGGGTTTGAGGGGTTGAGTTCCTGAATCTCTACCTGGACTCTGTAAAATCATTTCATTTGGGGAACTCAGTAATCTAGTTCAACCCCTTCACCCTGGAAAAGAGGAAGGCAAGGGCAGGAAGGGTTAGCAATTTGTTCCAAAGTCACCAGTTTGTAAAGACAGATTCCTTTCTTCCGATGGGATGGTCTCACTTGCAGTGTTTTTCTCCCTCCAGCTACATGAAGATACAGACAAGCTGTGTTAAGTGCAACAAACAACATAAGAAGACAGGAGCAGGAGCGCCTAGAAGAAAAAGATATGCTCACCGGGCACAACGTTACTTGTTCTCTTTTGTGTTATTCACTAGCTGGTTATTTCAGAATGAAGTTCCTTCAAAGAAAGATAAACAGGGGGATTCTATCCGCTTTACACTCTATTAAAGCAAATTACTTGAGAAGAAAAGGCCTACTACAATTAGGAAACTCCAAAATATGGAGTCTACAGCCACTAGCTCCACTGTTTACACAAACATTCCCTTCAGCCCCATGTCATTAAAAACGAGCCAAAACCCTGGCAGAGAAAGCCAGGAATGGGAAGCCCTTCCTCCCGGACTGTCGCCAACGCTACTGGAGAAATAAGATGACAGATGGACAGTCTCCACACTTCTCGGCCCCCAGTGAAAAGGGCTGCTGTTCGTTTTCAATCAAACTCATGCCACCAAGGGTCACCCGTTGAGGGCCCCACTTAAATCGGCTTTATCGGCAAGATTTCCAGGGTGCGACGGAGAGGAACTGCCACTCCCGCCGCCTTGTCGCTTCTCTGCGGGACCGACCGCGCGGAGCGCCCTCCCGGGGCCGTCCAGAGACCGCTCGGAAACGGGCCCGGGGACGGAGGGCCGGCGGGGCGCCACTCACCGAGAACACGGCGTTCTGCAGCCCGAAAGGAATGGGGGTCAGCCTGGCCAGCGCCACCACTTTGAGGCCGCCGGCTCCCTCCACGACGCGGATGACGGCGCTCAGCCTCTCGCTGCCCTGGATCCGGGCGGCCACCCGAGCGGCCAGCAGCCGCCTGCAGACCACGTGGGCGACGCCGGTGCCGAGTAGGACGCCCGCCACCATCAGCCCCATGCCCAGCACGAAGCCGTACAGGTAGCCGGCGGCCACGTTGAGCACGATGTAGCCCCAGCCGCAGGGGAACGAGACCGCGACGAAGCCCGCGACGAAGAGCAGGACGCCGAGCGGCGGGTCCAGGCCCTCGGCCCAGAGCAGCAGGTGCTGCAGGGAGCGGCGGGCCAGCGCCAGCGAGGCCAGGCACAGCGCGGCCAGCACGCACACCAGCGCCAGGCTCCGGCACCAGCAGGCGCCGCCGAGGCAGCCGCAGCGCCCGCGCCTCACCT